GAATAAGTGGGGACTGTCTCCCTCTGTTGGTCATAAGATCTCAAAGTCTCCATAGAGTAAAGGAAGAAGGAATGAAGATCATTCTTTTGCCTCGTCTTTAATTATACCCCATCAGGACATAAGGCTGTCTTTACACTGTTTACTAATTTTGTTATAGCATAGAATTCATTTAAAAATAGTTTTATTTATCTCAGAGAGGAAAGGAGAGGGAGAGAGAGAAACATCGGTGATGAGAAAGAATCACTGATCTGTTGCCTCCTGCACACCCCCCACTGGGGATCAAGCCTGCAACCCAGGCACATAGCCTCATATCCTGGTTCATAGGTTGACACTCAACGACTGAGACACATCAGCCAGACAGAGTTTAACTAAAATCCATCCCTATGAAAACATGGGGACAAAGAAGCAGTGCTGATTCAGAGTAAATTGTCTAATATTCCTGAAAGTTGTCTTTTATCCCTACCTGGTTAAGATTGGTTCTGGATATATTTTGGTGCTTCCATGATTTGGGTCATTTGATTTTATACTTGTTTGGTTTAATAAAGCTTCACATTCTTTTTCATGTTAACAAGTAATATAAAATGCTTGTATTGAAAATTGTCTAAACAATTATAAATGGAACTACATCTATGTCCTGTTTCATTGGAAGCAACTTAGTTTTTAAACACGCTTGTTATTTAGATTTTGACATATCACTTGTAATATTAATTGCACTAATACATTGACGTTACATTTAAGTAATTTTCAATGTTGATTTTTTTTTTGTATTTTCTTTTTCTTTTTCGATTTTTCTATTACAGTTTATATTCAGTATTACTTTGTTCCAGGTATACAGCTCAGTGGTTAGACATCATATACTTTACCAAAGTGTTCCCCTGATATTTCTAGCAGCCGCCTGACACCATATGTAATTATAGCTATTATTTACTATATTCATTATTTATGCTATACTTTACATCCTCGTGACTATTTTATAACTTTCAATTTGTACTTCTTATTCCCTTTACTAATCAAAACCTGTCCTTTGGCTGTTGTTCTCTGTATGTGTGGGTTTCTTTCGGTCTATTTATTTCTTCTTTAAATTCCATATATAAGTGAAGTTATATGGGATTTGTCTTTCTTGGACTGACTTATTTCACGTAGCATAATAGCCTCTAGGTTCATCCACATTGTTGCAAATGGTAAGATTTCATTCTTTTTCATGGCTGAGTAACATTTCTTTATCTACTTATCTACTAATGGACACTTAGACCACCTACAAATTTTGACTATTGTAAGTAATGCTGCAATGAGCATAGGGGAGCATATATTCTTTTGAACTAGTGTTTCGGTTTCTCCGGATATATACCCAGAAGTAGAATTGCTGCAAAAGGCAGTCTCATTTTTAGTTTTTTGCTGTAACTCAATATTGTTTTCCACAGTTGCTGTACCAATCTGCATTACCAACAGAAGCAGCACAGACCTTAATGTATATCATTATGTACAGAGCTAATATATATTTTTATATAGCAAAAAAGATGGTTATAAATGAAATTGATTTATAACTTTACAGTTTCACCAAATCATGTTTTTTTTTTCAAGCTTACATTTAATTTTTTTTTCTGATCCAAATAATTCTGATACTATAAGCCACACTAAAACAAATCACTGCAATTTTCCATAAGAAAGTATGATGAACTGAGACTGAGAAACTATTGTTATGCGGCAAAATTTTATATAAATTCAGTGCCCTGTGAATGTTTGTATTTTATTGCCGAACTGCCATGTAGTTGGATGGGGATGACAAATTAAATGCACAATTATAGTTTCTCCAAATTGTTACTTGGATTCATCCTTGCTAAAATTGATCAGTAGAGCTTTTCTGTTAGGTAAAATAAAGGACTAATGAAATGTGCATGCTACCCATGCAAGCTTTGAGGTTTCAAAAAGGAAAGTATATTTATAAAAAATGTTTCCAGGCCAGAAGCAATGTCACATTTATTGGAGAAGACATTTTGTTGTATGGCAGTGGAAGTGACACTATTGTTTTTCTTCTCATTTATACTTTGACCATGTAAGAAATGGACCTGTATAAAGAAAGAGAGCTTTTTAAAAATAGAAATATGCCCTAGCTTGTTTAGTTCAGTGGACAGGGTGTTGGCCTACAGATTAAAGGGTCCCTGGTTCCATTCTAGTCAATGGCACATGCCTGGGTTGCGGACTCAATCCCCAGTAGAGAGCTTATAGGAGGCAGCTGATCGGTGATTCTCTCTAATCATTATTGTTTCTATCTCTCTTCCTTCCTCTCTGAAATCAATAACAAAGTAAATAAATAAAATAAAAGTACAAATACAAATTACCCATTTAAAAGAGGTCTGAATATTTGACATGCAGAATTATTTTGTGATCAATGTATTTTTCATAACTCACACAAAAGAAAAAAAAAGTCAGCTTTTTGATTTACATGTATTTCAAAGTCCAGAAAGACTTGTACAAATGTATAAAATTTAAATAGACTTGACAACAGACATTTTTCAATAACAGTTTTAGAAACAATACAGAGGTTCTAAAAGAAGAGGTAATAGAGTTTTATATAATATATAGTAAAGTAAAAGAGGGAAAGGCATTTGGAAATTCTCAAACACAGTTTTATTTATGTTAGTTTTTATTTTAATTTCCAGCACAGTTTATCTAAATACAATCAAAATACCCTGTTTCCCCCAAAAATAAGACAGTGTCTTATATTAATTTTTGCTTCCAAAGATGCGCTAGGTCTTATTTTCAGGGGATGTCTTAATTTTCCATGAAGAAGAATATGGTACACATTTATTGTTAAATGAAAATAAAGGAAATTTATTACCTGTATACGGTACGGTAATATGGTAGTTGTCAACACAAACCAGACAAACTGTGAATCCTACAGTATCAAGAATTTACTCATTTATTCAGTGACAATCATGTCATCATCTTCTGGAACATCATCATAACAATCCAATTCCTGAATTTCCTGATGAATTTCTTGTGACTCGATTTCTTTCAGAATCAGTGGACCAAATCTCTCATGGTTAGCCTAGGGGGGGCCTTATTTTCGGGGGGATGCCTTATATTTCACTCAGAAGGAAACCTGTAAGTAGGTCTTATTTTCGGAGGATGTCTTATTCTCAGGGAAACACGGTAGTTTGAATTAAAACTACTATTTCTTTATCATACTTAATTCTCTCCTGGGACTGTAGTTGATATTCTAAATCTTAAGTTTAAGAAATAAATTATCTTTATTTGTTATATGTGACGATGTGTGACACATAAGAAAAAAGCTTACTAATCAATTTAGTCCTTTTACTCAAGTACATGTACCAGGTGTAGTCCTAGACATGAGTGGCTTTAGATAATTGACCTGTACCCATTATTTCACCGAAAGGAAAAGGGTAGGTATGTTTACTTATATTGTGTCTTCCTTGACAGAGCAGTATGTACATATGGGTATATAATGGATGCTGAAAATGATGATACTGAACTGCCTGATATTTAATACAGTTTCAACACAGTTTAATTTTGAAATATAAGCAAGCAGTTGGAAGAAATAAAGTCTAGAATGAAGATAAATCTATTCAGTGCTTTAACGTTTGATGGACTCCACATTTTAAATTAAAAACTGTCTCCTAAGTATAAATTGCAGGGTTGCATGAGGGATCAATAAATTAGTCATTAGATTTGTGTCTCTGGTATATTCAGATGATTATGATGAGTTCTGATTTTGCATTTTAACCTTTCTTCAAAACGAATGCTGTAAGAAATGCTCCAGGAATGAGAACTCACATGCATGATAAAAATCTCTAGATACTTAATTATTTTTAAAAGATCACTTCATGATAAGTTTAAAAAGTGTTGTTGATTCTATATGAAATACATTTGAACTCATGGGTTTCATTCAGTGTTGTGAATCAAGATTTTACGTATTTGTCTATATAGGGCTTGTTTTGGTCATTTGGTATTCAGAAATATCTATATCTTATGGTATGTTTCTTGCATCAAAAGGAGCCAGGTTCTGTGGCAAATAAATCTGGAAAACGAAACAAGATCTACTTTTCTCTTGGACATATATAATATACATGCATACATTGAGGCTCTGTGATGGCCTGCTAAAAAGAGACAATTTTATCTTTATTTTTATTCTGACACCATGATCAATGAGTACTTTTGCCTATGTAACATTTATTATGGTTTGAAGAGCTAGAATTTCTTTTTTTTGGGGGGGGGTGTCCATATCTTTAGAAATATTAATTCCCAAGGAATTTCCTAAAATATTTGTTATACATTGTTTTCTTTTAATGAAATTTTATAGTATACATATTTATAATTAATTAAGAGGTACAAAAAAAGCATTTTTACATAGTACTCATATTACTATGGAAGACAAAATAGATTGTATTTTCAATCACTTCAGGAGAGGAAAGGAAATAGAAATGGATTATTTTTAAATTGCATGGTTCTAGCCTTTAAGACTCAAAGAAATGTCCCAAATTATGAGGCAAAATTTATTCTTGAGGAGCCAACACACTTATTCACCACCTTGGTAGAAATGGAAAATATTAGTGTGTTAGATAAATATGTATTTTTTAAAAGTCAGTTTTAACAAACTACTAAGCAACTTGTATTACATTTTCCTTGAATTATCTTATCATTTATAGTTTAGGCTGTGTATGTGCATATGCCTGTGTGTGTATGTATGTAATTTATCTGCATGAAATTTTTATTTTTTCTTGACAAATTGTTCTCAGACTTACACTGAGATATTTTCCCTCAATGCAAAATGTGCTTTTCCAATCTCACTGATATAGTGTTTTAATATGTTCTTAGAAAATATTGGCTAATCTTTATGGATCTTTGTGGAATATATTGTTAAAAGAATATTATGAGGGGCTTAATAATTAAAATATAAATCGATTGTATTTAATGTTTCATCCTGAATATTTTTGTTTTTACTCAAATTAATAAAGCTTTTTTTTTAATATTTTTTATAGAGTAATGAAGTTGTCTACTACAATGCAAAGGATGATCTGGATGTGAGTATTAACATTTTACATTAAATACCAAGGTGACCTTAGTTATATTTAGATGATTGGTTTTATTGAACAAGTTGACTTAGCAGGGTTCTATTCAGAAAATGCTCCATAGCAGAAGAAAAATGCCAATTAGATACAAAGTAATGATGAATTTTAGTGCTTATGTTTAACAACTTACTGTTGATATCTTCCTAAGAAGAAATACCATATGTTTTTCTGTTCTTTTTAAAAAATATATATTTTATTGATTTTTTACAGAGAGGAAGAGAGAGGGATAGAGAGTTAGAAACATCGATGAGAGAGAATCATCAATCAGCTGTCTCTTGCACACCCCCTACTCGGGATGTGCCCGCAACCAAGGTACATGCCCTTGACTGGAATCGAACCTGGGACTTTTCAGTTCACAGACTGATGCTCTATCCACTAAGCCAAACCGGTTTCGACTATTTTTCTGTTCTTAATTGTACACTGTACCCTGTTCCCCTGTTCAGATCTCAGTCCACTGCACTGACTTAAATTCTCTCTACTCCATTGGCATTGTTGACAGAGATTGGATCCCATCCATCTCTCTATCCTGGCTCCTCTCACCATGGTCACTAGGCATGTCACTCTGGCCTTAACTGCATACATCAGGAGAAGCCATTTACTTCATCTATGAATGGCACTCTGGAAGCTGAGCAACAACTAGCCTGCCTGTTCAATTTTTTGAAGCATATTATGTGCTTAATATGCCTTTTAAAATAAATATCTCTAAAGTACATGTTCAAATGACTTCAGAACATGATTATTTTAGCACAAATAAGTTACTGATAATATTGAACAGATCAGGACAGATTAGGGACACACTTACAGATTAGGGACACATTTTCATTACTTTAGGATTTTCAGTGGTTATAATTTTCTTAAAGACTTGCTTATCTGATGAAGCAATCTATGAAAAATTCAATAACAGTACAGTAGAAATATTGTATTATTGAAGATACAGAGGAAACAAAATAGAACCAGTGACAGAAGCGTGGAACAGACTGTCGAATCTCAGAGGGAAGGTGGGGGTAGGTGGGTGGGTGTGAAGAGATCAACCAAAGATCTTGTATACATATATGCATAACACATGGACATAGTAAATAGGGTGGTGGAGGCCTGATGCGGGGGGCAGGGATGAGCAATAAGAGGTCAGTGGGGGAAAGGAGGGACATATGTAATACTTTCAACGATAAAGATTTCAAAAAAGAATGTTATATTTAAGTGTAATCTATTGATTTTGCCCATTATAAGGATGATATGTAACCTCAGTTAAAGGTTAACAAGTATTTAAAAGTGATCAATTATTCCTTTGGAATGTAACCTTTCTATTAGCTACATCTGAATCAGTCAGTTTGTGGGAAAATATCGGGACTTTAATATAAGACAACTTCTCAGGGTCACTTTATATTATTCTGTTTCTCAGATCAATGCTATTTATATTCATCTTGTGGGTATAAAAATAAATAAGTGACAGCCAGATTTAGCTAAAGTAGTGACTAAAATAAGGAGTAGAATTAATGCTTCTTAGGATGCATGCAGACTTTTAGACAAGTTTTCCCCTTGAAACTTAAAAAAAAAAAAAGTATGTATACTGTAGCTGGGCAAAAATATTTGGTAAGCCACAGTTCTCATGGAAGGATATAAGGCACATAACCTTACTAGAAATTTAAGGTGATTCTTCCTGTGTCCACTGTGCTGGTCAATGCTAAAACAGTTTCTCTTCCGATTACTTGGTCATGCTACCCTACAATTTTCCAGTCAAATGTTAAGTATTTAAAAACCAATTCAGTCTGAACAGCATGGCTCAGTGGTTGAGGATCTGCCTATGAACCAGAAGGTCACAGTTGATTCCTGGTCAGGAATTTGGTTCAAAGTGTGGGCAGATCTGATGAGCTAAGTTATTATGAATCTCTGTGAAACATGAAATCACACATATTGTGTTAGTTGATCAAACTGAAGGTCTATATGATTCAACATGTAATTAGGGTAAATAATAGTTGTTGAATTAAGTAATTTAGAAATATGACATTATATTCTTAAATAATTCAGTAAACAACTGTTTTTCCCCTAAAAACTAACAACACACACACAAACACACACACACACACACACACACACACACACACAATCACTATCTACATTGTTATACAGGGTGGATTATATCGTGTTAAGAGATTGTATTCTGGGACGAAGCTGGTTTGGCTCAGTGGTAGAGCATCGGTCTGCGGACTGAAAGGTCCCAGGTGTGATTCCAGTCAAGGGCATGTACAGTAGTTGCGGGCACATCCCTAGGGGGTGTGCAAGAGGCAGCTGGTTGATGTTTCTCTCTCATCGACATTTCTAACTCTCTATCTCTCTCCCTTCTGCTCTGTAAAAAAATCAATAAAATATATTATAAAAATAAAAAAGAGAGAGAGATTGTAATCTGGGGTGTCACTGCCGGGATTTGAATCCCAGCTCTGCCATTTTCTAGCCGGGTGATATTGGCCCAGGCACACAGTCTCTCTGTTTTCACTTCTTTGGTTTGTAAAATAAAGGTAATCATAGTACTTACCTCATACAGGTAGTGTGAAAATTAAAGTTAGTTAACACACATAAAGCACTTAGAACATTTCCTATCTCATAGTCAGTAATACAGAAATATTAATGAGTATGTCTTTAAAGAGAATAATTTTAATGCTATTACAATAAATTTAAGATTGATTTGAAGTGATTTTAACTCAAAATGGAGCACATTTGTATGTATGCATTAACAATAATTAAAGGGTAATAGATTAAACTATTTTTCATTTTATTGTTATGAATATAATTCTAGCATGGATGTAAAAACTAAGACAATGTGAAACAAAATAAAAACTGAAGTAGCTTCTTCAAAAATATTTAGAATAAAAGGAACACAATGCTAAAATTGATCTTGGCATCAGTAAAGGTTTTATATGTCCAGATTTGAAAGAAAAAGTAAGTATCAAAATAAGATGGGGGGAAAAATGCTATTAAGCAACAATTGTTTATGAAATTCCACTTTAAGTTTTACTTTGCTTTGAAATTCATTTAGGTTCTTAGCTTGGTGTTTTAGGAATATCTATCTCAAAAAGTCCTTAGATTCGCTCAAAATTAGTGAAGCAAAATCCCCACAAGGCTTGAGTTATGCCAGCAAGCAGCACAGTTAATTCCCAGAGCAAGCAAAAAGAATGCAGATCGTTACAAACTCTTATTAACCTGATTCCAAGATCTATGTTTCTGACTAAACTCCAAATGAAACAAGTTTAACTTTGAATTCCCAAGTCGATAAATTGAGCTGATTTATTTGCTACATTTTATTTTATTGATCATGTTAAAAATTTGACCTGTCTGGGACTTTTGGCTAGCCTGCCGAATTCCCTTGCATATTTATGTTACTATTTATTTTCTTAGCAGAGTCTTGTCTGTGTTAAAATTAATTGAACACAATGTCCTAACTAAATGCCTTTTTAAAAGCCCAATCTTTCATGATCTTATCTTACTTTATATAAATAAATAAACCTCAATTTAGAAGGGATATGCATCAGTGATGAAATCTATTCCAATTATTAAAGAAGCAAAGTCTAGATTTTTTCCCCCCTAACTTTCCTTTTTTCACTATCTTATAGAATGTAGCCTTTGTTTCAGGCTCTGATGGCTGATATTGAATCCTCACATAGGTGATGGCATAGAGATGGAATATTAATTGCTTCTGTATAATAACTGGTTTAATGAGAGTTGCTTTTTGTGTGTGTGTGTGTGTATGTATGCATCTAAAATAAATCTTTTAAATATTTTGGATAGTATATTTTTGGATTTGATTATAGTAGTAGTTAACATATATATTCTTATTCTTTAGTAGGCAGTAAATACTGTGTATGCAATGTTAGTGTTTAGAGTTCACACTAATCTTTTGTAACACACTATTATTTTACTGATTTTCAGATGAGACAAGTAAATCTTAGTGAGCTTAAGTCACACAGTAGATATTTGATGGTGCAGGGCATTCAAAGTGGTTCAGTCCACATAGTCTACCTCAAGAGCAGGGTGGCATTGTGCTGTGTTGTGGGTGCCCATGGGATGGAGAAGGCCCTGTAATGGAGCTACTATAAATCAAGACTGAAGGTTAAACATTTTGGGAGATGGTTTTGACTTAAAATTTTAATTGATTATACCTACCCGTTTTTCTGTCCATATTTAATGGTGATGTAGTTGGCCTGTATTTAATCCAGCCAGTTTCATCATTGCCAGTGATTTGCAGTAGGTAAAATGAAATCTCTATGATTAAAATGGGTGTTGGGCTTTGAATCATAAATCTCCACTGGTCTGATCTACTATTCCCAGTGATATTAACGCATTCAACCCTGTGTGAAATATGACCACATTAGGAGTCATTGGGAAAATTTTTGTAAAACTAATTTTAAAAAAAGGTAGATTAGATTCAGTCTCTTTTAGTAATTATACCTTATGTTTTTGGGGGCTTCTTTAAAAAGTTTTGACTCTGCTCAGAAATGTTTAGTGCTTTACACACTTAGGCACATGCTCGTTTTGCAAGGACAGTTTAAACATTGATTCTTGGGTGTTTTTGTTGTTGTTTTGGAGATTGAATGATTCTCTTGTAGATTTGCATCCAGTTCTTTCTTTCCAGAAGTAGAGTATGGCATATATATTTAAAACACAATGAATAGTCATTAAATTTAGAAAATTTAACACATTAAATGGGCATTATAAAGTTACCCTGTTATACAAAGATGGAGACTGGATTGTTTTTAACATAATCTTCAACCATTTTTTGTTTATAATACATATGCATACCATTTATTTTTTTAAATGCACCTCCCTATAAAAGAATATTTACTTATAAATTCAATATTTACTACTGAATTAATATATTTAAAAACCCCAAAAGAGACTTCTAAATCTTTGTTTAATGAAATTTTATAAAGTATTGATTTAATGTGGCATATTATTAAAAG